GAGATCGGCATGGCAGATTTTATTGGTTTGTTGCGAGGAGGATCTTTGTGTGAGTGTTTCTTACTTAGTAACAGGTAAAAAATCTGTTCATTCTCTTCGCCGCACTGTATTCATTGTTTTTTGCTATGCAAGAATCATATTTGAAATTTTGCTACAGTTTTCCATTGGTTTGAAACAATACAGCGCTTTTGAAGGCATAACATGGATGAGTCTGATCTGCGATACTATTCAACAGCGCCGCAGTTCTATCAACTTGTCAAGCGGATGGATCCGACGTTCTTTGAATATGATCTGTGCAGTTTCTTTTACGAGAAACTCAGCGACATCTTAGAGCAAGTAAGCGTGGTGTTGCCTGTTATCTATACACTGGCTTGTGTTTGTAGATGTCTGTTACTCTGGAACTATCATCAGACCGTAGAGACACTCTGTATCGTGAAAATTACAACACCAATAAACCGCTGCCAGCAGAGGTTTTCCTACAACAAGACAACAGTGGGTTCTTTGTTATCCAAACTTCTCAAATATCCTTATATTTATGTTAAGTGATGGTCATGGGTGATATATTGGTAGCGGAGGGTGCGCTTGTGAAGCAGGAACCATACGACAAGGATACGGACGTCAAAACTGAGGAAAACGAAGAAGAGGACCAGGTGCAGTGATAAATCGCTATCCTTTTTGCTATGTTCGTTTGCAGAAGCCCTTTGACACTCTTGATGGATGCTTCAAAACAATGCTGGGCTTGTCTAAAGGACATCTCATCAATAATTTCTGGAGCGGTAATGTGGAAGGTGGGAGCTTTTCTCAGTAACTTCTATAGACTTTGTAACTTATTATGTGCACTTTATATGCAGAGGGTCATTCTCTTGTTCATCGTACCACATATAAATTACTGCTTCTGAGAAGTAATGCGGCACGTTTTTAAAAAAAATGGCTGAGAATCCTCCTGCCGAAAAAGCATGAATTATTTTGAAGTCATTTTGGATGCTGTGCTTGTTTTTATCCAACGTCACTTGACTGTCTCTCATTTTGTAATGGAAATATGAACTTCCAAACTAGTTCCTCGTAAGGCTAAGAAGTGAAACATGTAGCTTTCATGTATTTCAGAAAAGGAGTTGCTGCAGCTCAAAACAAACCGGGATACAGATAAAAACAGTTTACGCCCCGATCCAAGCAAGTTATTTCGCATGGGAAATCCAAGTGATGATAGCTCTTATAGGTATGAACAGCGAGAAAGATTTTTCACTTGTACAAGAGATGACAGTTATTGTTTTAGCAAGTATAGCAATCTCTTTGTTGAACACAAATTTGGCGAGCATCCTGCTACTAGAAGGAAGATCGCTGACAAAAAGAAGTATCTTTGCACCAAGTTCTCGTTGTTGGAGGAAGGGGAATGGGCGTTCGAGGTGACGTTTTTTCTTTTTTTTTTCGTAGTTCTTTCGTTCTGCATTTTTTCTTCCATAAATATGCACCTTTGAGTTCTTCAAGATTATCT